TTGAAGCATGGAATCCCAATTATCTAGGGGAATTTAAGAAATAGATTCTCTGAATGCCTTTGTCTAGGGATTTCTCTCTAGTGGTTGTAGTGAATAATTCTTCTAAGCATGGTGATTGTGCTTTTAAAAAGTACATATCTGCTTTCTATGTCCCACTCAGCAACAGTTTGCTGAAGTGGTTGAGGGACATGCTATCTATCCAATCACCATCTCAGTAGGCTCTAGCCTTGTTGGACTCCTGGGCACCCCTGGCACTATGAGACCTGCTGAGGACATGATCACAGAATGCCCAGTCAGTGGATGGTTTCTTTAGCATCTTTCCCTCTTGTCTATTGATTGTAGACTGTGTCTTACTCAGTAAACATGTGTTTCTGGTCTGTTGGACCACACAAGTTCTCTTTGATTGGGGACTGCTTAATTCAGCAAATTGCTGGTGCAGCCAATACTTCTTTTAAATATAATATAAATGAAAGTAAATGCAGCTTATGATACTTTCTGGCAGTATTATGAATTACTGTAAACTTGCCGAGAGAGTTTCAGCTATTGGGCAGTATAGGAATGAAATAAATAATAAAATGTCCCCTAGTTCTTTTCTTCTGGTGAGGGTAAATTTTGAACTGGAACAATCTTTAATAGTCACTGATATTACCATAGTAAAAGGACCTTACTCATGAATACTTATTTGGCTATTTGGTCTGCTTCTGTTAAAGCCTATATATAATTGTTAGAAAGTTGTATGCAGATCATACAAAACCACATGTCTATATTAAAAAGTGAGGAAAAATAAAACAGTAAAAAAGGTCAGGTGACCACAGGCATGATGTTGGAGACCCTGACATGGGTGCCATTGGAGGTTCCTGCAGATATTGCATTAGGGAGCCTGGGTGTCACGGGAAGGATGTCCTTGACCCTCTGGCCTGCACAGGAAGCCCAGGGTGTCTTGCCGCCTGCCTCCACCCCACCACTGTCTCACGCCCCTTCCCTCCGTCCCACCACTGCCACTGCATACCCCTTCTGGCTGTGGGGCCAGAAGGGGTATGCCATGTCTCATGAGAGCTCAAGGCAGCCAGCCAGAGCCTCACAGCAGGAAAGGGGATGGGAAGGCGGGGGCAAGGGAAGGGAAACGGGGAAGGTCGCTGAGATGAGCCCCCAAAATTTTCTTTCACTGCATGATGAAAGAGCAGCTGGAAGAGCCCTCCAGAGCATCCACCTTGATAGCAGGAGGGGGAAGCAGCACACTTTGCTGCCTTCCCGCTCTGCCAGCTGACGCAGGCACCTCAGTTTGCCCCGTGATAAAGCCAGCCCTGGCCAGTGTTCAGTCTCTTCTGTAACCTCTTTGTCAATGGAATGTGAAGCAGGTGGCTTTCATAGAAGACTCCTGTGTCCTTTACTTGCTCCGTGCATCTGAGTGGCCAAGCCCCACCCAATGACGCTGTGCAGGCCCTGAAGAGCGCACCACCACCACCGATGATCTGCTTTGTTCCAGAGACATCTCCATGCCATACTCTGCCGAGTTGCTATAAGGTGCCTTTAGCCACATCTCCTGACTTTCCTCAGATACAGTGAAAACTGAGTAGCCAGGCCAGGCCACCCATTAGGCAGAGTGAAGCAGTAGCCTCAGAATGCCAATTCCAGATGCCTTGAAAGGCCAGAAAATGCTAATTATTTTGTTTTAATTGACAGGGAGGAGGAAGAAGTGAATATGGGATTTTCTGCCTGCAGTTCCAAAATAAAATAACTTGGCTAACTCTGGTACTGTGAACTTCGTTCTGGGAGGCGGGGGAATCAGCCAACCTGCCTTCCTTCTCACCAGGTGCCATCACTCCTCATTTTCCTTCCCATCGTTGCTACCTCTGACTATCTTCTGGCCAGAGAACCAGAAAGTAGCAGCATCTACACCTTCTTAACACCACCATTGTCTGGGCCAGAAAGAACAGCAGGTAAGCGAGCAGGTTGCAGTAGTGAAGGAGAGGAGTAACTCCAGTCATCCTCTGATGCAGTGTTGGCCTTTAGCAGGTGTCTAGCCATGCTTGTCCTTGATACAACCCTGCTTGCTTCTTTGTTTATCATTTTTCTCCGGTTAGTCATGCACCAGGTGAGTCTTTGCTTCACTGATCTTGACGCCAAGCTGAATGGTGCCTCAGGTGACGGCTTGTGCCTTCTAAGTGCCCAGGATTGTTTTTATACACTCCCAAATGCCACGAAGAAACACAGGACATTTATTTAGGAATGTATCATAATAAATAAGCAACAAAGCAGGTAGCAAAACATTCAGAAAATGCAAGTATCTAAAGTGCTTTAAGATATAAATATAAAAAGACAAAGGGGGAAAAACCCAAATGTTAACACTTTTACAGACATATAATAATTACAAAATATTTTCCTATGGCCTTTTACAAAATAGCAAAATTTTATTTCTGAGTTCTATGGCTTGATATTCTTTTGTACAAGTTTGAGTTCTATTATGCATAGCATGTGAAATAACATTAAAAATGTAGGGTTATTGCATATTTTTCCAAATACAAATCTGTAGTAATAGATACACTCATTCAGTTTCTTATACCAAAACATTACTCAAAAAATAGTCATCCTATCAAGTATGTGTTGGAGCTGTAGTGAAATCATTGAGGATAGAAAAATTTACAGGGGCTAAGGAGATAGTCCATAGTGTTTCTAGAAATGTGCTTCCCTGCAGTTGCTATACTATAGCATATTGTAAACATGGGTCCCCTGATACTGTATCTACTGAGCAAATAAAGGGGCTCTGTTTTCCATACACAACTCTGCAAACAAGGTTTCTACCCATTATCTAAGAGCCCAGAATTGCCCAGGTTTTGCAATTTCTTACACAAAAAAGGGGGGACAGTTGTGCTCACATCTAATTCTGTATGCATTCCACAGAGCTTTGAATGTGGGCAAAAGGATTCAGTTCATCATCTGGTGCTTACGCAAACCCTTATGAAGTTAATGGGAATATCAGAATAGTATCCAGTCACTTGCAGAGTTCGGTGCACTACACAGAGCATAAAAAGCCCTGCTGGATCAGACCAAAGGTCCATCTAGTCCAGCACTCCACACACACACACACGGGCAAACCAGCTGCTCACAGGATCCCTCAAGCAGGAGGGGTGCAAGAGCTCTGCCTGCCCCCTATAGCAGCCTTCCCCAACCCAGAGCCCCCAGATGTGTTGGACTACATCTCCAATCATCCCAGCAAGCATGGCCAAAGATACATCTGACAAGAGTATCTGAAGGTCACTAGACTGGAAAAGGTGGCATGAATTGGTAATTCAGGTTCTGAAGGGCACTTGCTCAGGCCAAACAAATTTTTGCCAGAAAATTCTTGTACAGTTTTACTTGTAAGCAACAGAAATGATCTCCATGGGCGTTCCAGCCATTTGCTGCTTAATTGTGCTAGGCAATGATACTTTTTTGAGGAGCAGGGGTGGGGAGCCTCAGGCCCAGGGGCTGAGCCCAGCCCTCCTGGGGTCCCCCTCTGGTCCTCCAGGGTTCCACAGACGGCCACACCCCTTGCCTCTGGTCATTGCCCAGCATTAGCTTGATGTCTTTCCCATGCTAAAGGTTGAAATGCCTCTCCTAAACTTTAGTTACAGGCAGTACAAGCTTTAAGTTCAAATATCCAAGTGAGTGTTGGCATTTTTGGCTCCAGTTCCCTTTGGCCCCACCCTCCACTAGAATGTGCCCCCCAAGAGCTTCCTCAAATTTGAATCAAGACTTCTGCTGAAAGAGGTTACCCACCCCTGCTAGAGGTTGATGCCCACTGAAGCAAGGGGCCCACTCTTCCTAAACCTAGTCGTTCACCCATTGATGAAACAGATTCTGATTCGGAAGAGGTGGGGAGCTAGACTCTGCAGCTGAGTTACAAGAGGAGGGGATTCAGCATGTAATGGAGGCAGGCAACAGCTTCAAACTCTGTGAGAAACCTCAATGAGCAAGCTGATATGGGTGGGAGGGGGGACCCAAATGAATCCAGTAATACAGTGTCAATTTAAGACGTTAGACCAGTTAAGAAATGTCAGATACCCCAAGACATTGGCCTGTAGGATCAACTCTTTCCAGTTTTGGGAAGTGGAGAGAGAGAGCTCACTTAGAATCAATGGCTAACTTTGTCGCTTCTGTTAAAGAGGACTGCCATGCACCTCTTTCATACTACAAAGCCAGCGCAGCTGATCACCTTTAACATAATAAAGACTTCAGGAAAGAAGCATTTGCCCTGCTCTGCTTGGAGGGAAGACATGGCACACTGAGTTGGGACTGTCTCACCCGCCCCCCACCAGCACCCATGACACTTTCCCAAATTACTGAAGTTATTCATGTCATATAAGCAGGATGTAATCTCAAAGACAAATTAAACATAAAACAAAGTAACCCAAGCTGGCCCCTATGAAAAATGTGAAAATCCCCACTGAAGCAATACTTTGAATAAGACCAACCAAACAAACACAGGATTGTGTACCTCTCCCGAAAGCTTGTTTGCAATTTTGTGCATTTGTGGTTAGCCCTAATCAAGGTATTATCTGATGATGGATTTTGGCACTCACAAACATGGTTTCTGGCTCAGTGTTAACTGCTCTGGAAACAGAACCCACTTCATTTTTATTGTCATTATTCCTTTGTTTAATTTGGTGGAAGTGCATACCATTTCTTTTTCCATCACAGAACGCAGGTTTCCTGATCATTTTCTAGAGTTGCTACTAAAAGGTGACTTAGTGAGACATCTTAAGAAGAAAACAATCAGCTTCACCTAAATTGCTATCTTGTGTTCATATAAACAACTTTCAAGTTGAAAAAATAAATTATATCTTGGACAGGCCCCGTCACAAAAGTTAGCATTTGCATGTAAAATCTTGCATTATTTAGTTGAAAAAATACTAATAAATATTAATAGAACATTAATTTTCATATTTTCCCAGAGCTCTGAAGAGGTTAGTGTTTGTCTATGTTGCCGTATTTCTGCCATCTCACCCGGTCCCCAGTACCTAGTGCTCACTGTCTTTCATTTTTGGCTATGCCTCCACTGAGACTCTGCCTCAAAGTGCTGTTTTTTTTCTCATGCTTTGCTGTACTGGAGAGATCCATCGCAATGTCTTCGCCATTGTCTATGGAGCTGAATTTGTCAGCGGAGGTTCTCTCCTGTTCCAGTGGCTTCATTTTTAAATCTTCATCAGGGAGTTCAGATTTCCAAGTACCATTCCCCTTTTCCTCACTTTCAGGTTTTCTTGAAATATCCATCGATTTTTTATGCATTCCTTTAAAACAAAGAAAAATCGCTGCAGACCAGATTGAAAGAGATAATGCATTGACTAATCCTAACAGTGACTGAGAAGTCGAGGACTTGACTGAAACACATTGTACTTTATCCTTGGGCCCTACCTGGTTCCCACCCACCACTGCCCTGGAAGATTTGCCTGAAACCCTGGACAGCCACTTTGATCCAGCCCTGACTATACCAGACTAGATAGACCAGTGGACTGAGTCAGTATAGGCAGATTCCTATGAGCTAACATGATTGGGAGAGTGCACCCATATTCTGCTTGGAGGTCCCCATAGGCTTCTGAAGAACCCATATGGAAGCAGAATGATAGACTAAACAGGACTTTGGTCTGAACCTAAATGTAAAGACTCTTAATGCTTAGTGAAAGGAGGACATGGGAAGATGTCGTGTTTCAGCAGGAATGTTTTTTAACAGCATATTTTTCATGTCATGTTACCCTTTTAAACTGAGCCTCCTGTTATATATGCAACCTTTTTCCTTTTTAACGTATTTCTGTTTTATTAATGTTTGCTGCTTTGAGTTTTTAAATAATTACAAATACTAAAATAAAGTTATAATGAAGTTATACTTATATCAAAGTTATATAAAAGATATATTAAAGTTATATAATACTATATGCAATTATTATAGTGAAGTTATATAAAGTTATAATTATATTATATTTATTAATAATATAATGAATACATTACTAAAATAAAGTTCTACTGAATTTCAAGCATTTGCCCTTAAGACATCTCCAGGAATGCTCGGTCATGCCTTTACATTTGCCCATTTTACCCAGTGCCAGAAGCATTCAGTTCTACACTTAGGCACTCAATTTAAGAAAGTATCACAATATCTTCTGCAAGGGCAAGAGGAGATACTTGGATATTCACATGCTTCAGTGTGATGATCGATCTGCTATTGGAAAAAACTACTAAAATGGAAAAACTACAAGAAGGCCCAAGCTTGCCAGTTCCCTCAAGGGGTCATCATGAAGTTGCATCATTTTCCTCTCAGTGGGGAACTGAAGGAGGGACAGTCAAGGCTTCGGGGCAGAAATGCAGGGAGCTCTCAGCAGAGTGTGCAGAAAGATCTTTTCGGGAAGAGGAGTGGCTTACGTAGTCTAAAGTAAGTGCAGAGGGAACCTTCTATAAGATAATGAAGCATGCAGTTCTATTGATTGTGCCTCCAAGTCCGTGGAGGTCCCTGAACCTGGAGGTGTCTGATCATCCGATGCGCAGAAGGCGTGACAGAGACGATCTTCACCTCCTCATCCTCCTGCCCTGCACATTTCACTAGAAGGGTTTTTCGGGGGTCAAAGGGAGGCTGGCTGAGGTTCAGGACAGCCATACCTGGGCCTCTCTGGACTCCTCCTCTTGCCCCCAAATGCCCCCTTTTCTTCTTTTCTGCACTGATTTTCTGACCTCAAGGAGCAGCGGGCCTGGCTCTTTCCATGCCAGCTGTGAGGGGGTAGGGAATGGCTCACTGCCTCCCCATTCCAAGGTTGGAGTGCTCTCTCCCACCTCACAAGAGGAAATCCCAAGTATCGCATGGCCCTTCAAATGACCTCTAAGGCCTGCAGGACTGCTCCCTTAGTCCAGTCTAAAATGACCTAACTACACATAGCTGTAAGCCAGTCTTCCCTAACCAGGTGCTTTCCAGATGTTTTGGGCTACAACTCCCAGGATTCCTGCCCTTTGCACATGCTGGACAGAACTGATGAGAGTTGAAGACCAAAACATCTGGTGAGCCCCAGGTTGGGGATGAGTGCTCCAAGCCAACAATCAGCTGTCATGCATTTTTGGTTTGAAGAGAAGTGGTGTGCTAGTGCATGGTGTTTCCATATACAAATGTCCCACAGACTTAATGGCAAAACCAGTTATTTGGATTTTGATCCACGTGTATGTTTATTATTCTGCAAAGGGATAACCAAATTTAGGCTGCAATCGTACATTTGCTCATCTGAGAGCAAGTCCCATTTAATTCACTGGGGTTTAACTTCTGAGTAAACATGTAGGTTTGCACTGCCAATTTTTTAGAGACACTATGAATGTTTAGTCTGAATTAACAAGTATGCTTGACTACCTTTTCAGTGTCACTATCGATTACATTCATTTTGCAAGTGTAAAAATTAGATTTGCTAAGAAAATGCTTTTTTTCCACTTATTGCTTGATATTCATCCTTTGTCTTTCATTCACTTAAAAGGAGTTTGATTTTTATGCCATTTAAGGCACACTCCTACAGAAACTTAATCAGAGCACAAACTGCCATTGCTGGGGCATGATGGGAGCTGTAGGCCCTTTTTTGTTTAAACCTGCACAGAGAACTGGTTTTTATAAAATGACTAATGTGAGACATACGGCACTTGGGTTTTTGGGACACACAGACATTCATGTTTGTATCGGGATGATGGACATTTGCTCCTCCGTTAAGAAGCAGGCCGTGCCAGTGTCCCTGCTTCTGCTTGTGCAGCATTGGATCAGGTGAAATGGATGAGCATCTCTGCTTTGCCAATGCACATGGTGCCAACCTGCCATGCCTGCTAAGGCCACGCACAACGCCATGCATGAGGGGCAGAGGACCTGCCCTGCTCCCATCTCCTAATACAGTGGAATCTCCGCTGGGGATTGCAAAAGCGGGACAGCTTGCTTTAGTCAAGCCGTGGGCCCGTCTCTCGCGTAGAAGGAGGGTTTGACACTTTCAGGGATTGACACTTTCTTAGGCAGAAGTTAATTTGTACTTAAATAAGGACAAATGCTTCTTTAAATAATTAAATCTGATTTTCTATTGAAAAGCCAGTTATCCACCATATTTTTATTTCTCAAAAGTGAGCAGTGGATGTCAAATATTTATTTATGCGCCACCCTGTAACCTGAGGGCTTTCTGGGTGGCTTACAATTATTATGCTGTGTTTTTAACAACTTTATAATATTTACTGTCATACTACCCACTATTATGATAGGTGGAATGTATGCAGAATGTAAGCTTATCTATTGCAAGGTTTGTATGTGTGTAGACAAGGCGTGCAGTATGGGGGTCAAATCTGACCTGTCTGGATCTCAATCTGGCCCCATAGAGGGCTGTGCCCCTTTCCCTTAGCATTACCTTCTTTCTCCCAATTGCCAATTGTTTGTTAGTTTCCGGGCTTTTGTGTGCATTTTCCTCCATTCTAAAAGAGGGGAGCTTCTTCTAATGCTTAGTTATTGGCAGTAAGAGCTTAAAGCTAAGTTATGTTGGCAGGCACAGGTCCGTGCACAACATGCAGTGGGTTCCTTGTCAGTGGAAAGTAATCAAGCCTTCCCTTGTCGAAGTTCCAGGGCAAATCGTGTCTTCAGTACAGCATTTTTATTGTAGCAGACATTGTTTTTAATGGTGTAATTTAAGCTGTGATGTCTAATATTATTTAATAATGTTATTTTAATATTATAGGCAAATTGCCTAGGGGCTCTGTTATATTAAGCAGTCTATAAATATTTTAATAAGTAAACAACAAAGCATGCACTTAGTAATCCCAGGAGGATGAGGACAAAACCTGCTCTGTACCCCAGTAATGCCAGTAATTCAATGAACCCTTCAGGGGAAGAAGAGAGAGTAGAGGGCATGGCTAAGCACACAGAAAGCAATTCCCTCTTCGTTAGCCAGGCATTAACACAACCTATCCGTGCACTGTGCTTTCTGTTCACTTACCAAGCAACCAAGGGGCACAGGAGCCCACAAGCCCACTTTTGGCAGAGTTGATGATGGATTCCGGTAGTGGGATCGAGTGCCTTACCATGGCACCGTAGAGGCCATATTCTGCCATTACGCTGCTGCGTCCCCAGCACTTCTCACGTTTCCGCCACTTGGCTCTTCGGTTTTGAAACCAAACCTTTGGGATATACAGACCAGAGTGCACAATTAATAACAGCTCGCATGTGTCCACATTTATGCAAGGAGTAGAGAGCATCTAACAGAGTACATTAGGTCAAGAAATCATAAGTGTGTTTCAAGCCAGGGGCAGGCAGAAGGGAGACTGGTATCTACTCATAGATCTCTTGGTGATTTGTACAAGATCAACAACTGATTTCCCAAGGAATTAACAACACCCAGTAACATTGCAAGACACAAAATGACTAAGCTGGCACTAACTGCATCTTTAAGTGTCAGTGCTGAGTATTATTTGGTTGCCTCTGCAAAATCTTTGTGTAGCTTAGGTACCCTGTTTTACAGTCTTGGTCTGCAGCAACTCAGATATACATTTGTACTTATATGTCCACGTTTTCCCGGATGTATGGCCCGTGAGGTGCAGAAAGTAATTACCTATCAATGGTTATTAGTCCCGGTAACTATATGCAGCTTCCCGTATCAGAAACATGCCTATGTGCACCAGTAGCATGGGAACGCAAGGGGAAGGGTGTTACAGCCCTCCTGCTCTACTTGTGGGCTTCCCACAGGCCGATGGCTGTGCACCAAATGCTGGATGAGATGTGCCGTTGGTTTGATCCAGTGCAGCTCTGTTTATGTTCCTTTCCTTTCATGTGGTCCCCACCAAAGATAGCACTTTATTAAACCAACAAACAGCTGATTGCCCAGCCTTTGCTCCATTATGCCAAGCCCTATCCCTTCCCTTCCCTTCCCTTCCCTTCCCTTCCCTTCCCTTCCCTTCCCTTCCCTTCCCT